GGGGGCGGGGCGGCGGGCAGGGGGCGGGCCCGGCAGAGCTGGCCCCGCCCCCAGGCACGGCGTGGACTACCTGACGGGCTCGTGGTGGCCGGTGCTGGAGGACCTGTACACGGCGAACATCCCGGTGTACCGCTTCATCCAGCGGCCCGGAGACCTGGTGTGGATCAACGCCGGCACCGTGCACTGGGTGCAGGCCACGGGCTGGTGCAACAACATCGCCTGGAACGTGGGGCCGCTCACCGGTACCGCGCCGGGGGGCACGGCGGCGCCGGCGGGACGCTGCTGCGGGCACCAAGGGGGCACCGGGGACGGCGGAGAGGGACCATGGGGACACTGAGGGGGACAGCACGGGGACAGCGGGGAGGGACAGCACAGGGACAGCGGAGAGGGACCATGGGGACACTGAGGGGGACAGCACGGGGACAGCGGGGAGGGACAGCACAGGGACAGCGGAGAGGGACCATGGGGACACCGAGGGGGACACCACAAGGACACCGAGGGGGACACCATAGGGACACCAGGGAGGCTCCCCAAGGGCACCAGGGGCCTCCGGAGGGATACTGGGGGGACCGCGGGGACACGGAGGGGACACCACTGGGATGCTAGGGGGACACCACTGGGAGCACAGAGGGAGACACTGGGGGGACATTGGGGGGACATCACAGAGGGCACCACAGGGACACCTGAGGGGACAGTGCAGGGGGCACCAGGGGGACACTCTGGGACCCTCACCCCTACCCAGCAGGGACATGGGGGACATGGGGATGGGGGGCACCACCCCTACCCAGCAGGGACATGGGGGACATGGGGGGCACCAAGGGGACACTCTGGGACCCTCACCCCTACCCAGCAGGGACATGGGGGACATGGGGGGCACCACAGGGACACTCTGGGGGCACCGAGCAGGGACAGGGGCCCCCGCTGCTGATTGCGATGGGTGTCCTCCCCGGGGGGCTGCAGGGGACCCCGGGGGGCCACGCGGGCGGGCAGGGGCCGCGCCGGGCGCTCACGCCGCGCCCCGCGTCCCCAGCCTACCAGTACCAGCTGGCGCTGGAGCGCTACGAGTGGAACGAGGTGAAGAACGTCAAGTCCATCGTGCCCATGATCCACGTGTCGTGGAACGTGGCCCGCACCGTCAAGATCAGCGACCCCGACCTCTACAAGATGATCAAGTGAGCGGGGACGGGGGGCACTGGGGTTGGGGGGACACTGCCACTGGGGGGACACTGGGGTTGGGGACACGCCGGGTTGCTTTGGGTGGCACTGCGCGCGGGGCCACGTGGCGGTGGGGACAGGGACGGTGGCCACGTTGGGGCTGGGGACACTGGGGACAGGGCCACATCAGCACTGGGGACACTGGGGACAGGGCCAC